TACATAAACCAGGTCTCTAATCTACATAAAATGAAGAAGCAGAACCCCTTCCCAACCTGCCTTTTAACAAGATTCCTATGAACATAAAATTTGACAAGCAGTGCTGTGTTTTCATTCTCAGAAGCAAATGACCAAGATGTAGAGCCAGAAAACCTTTCTAAAGAAGATAATGGAAAAGATATGGAACTATACCCACTCCTCACCCATCGAACATGGGAAGGTTCCAAGACCAGATCTTTATGCTAAGAGGGATTTGGGGGCCATGCTAAATTCCTTTAACAATAACATAGTTCAATATATAGCATTCAACTCATTATGTTTTTTTCACAGCCTAAGTTGTAATATATTATTGTTGATGCTAGGTGCCATCAGGTAGGTATTGACTCATAGTGACCCTATGCAGATGAAACACTGCCTGGTCCTGCTCCAATCTCATAATCATTGCTAAACTTGAGCCCACTGTGCCAGTCCATCTTGTTGGGGGTTTTCCTCTTTTTCTCTGACCCTCACATGTTGTCGTCCTTCTTCTGCCAACACTAACCAAACCCACTCTAAACTGTGGTGCATGAATGGTGAATGAGAACAGTATACACACTTTCATTCTCTAACTATACTCACAGGAGACATTTGGTGAAGAGTCTAAGATCAAATCAACATACAATTATCAATTAAATAAAAATACAACAACCCCACAATGCCCAGGAGACAAAAGACACACAAAGAAACAAGGGAGAATGTGTTCAAACAAATGACCAAGATGTAGAGCCAGAAAACCGTTCTAAGGAAGAAAAATTAATGGAATTAATTAAACAAGAATTCAAAAGAATGATATTTAGGTACCTTCAAAGAACTGACAGAAAGATCACAAGAAAGCAAGGAGAACACAGAAAAAACTTGAGAAAATTTCAGGAAAACTTTTAAAGAGCAAACAGACAACTATACTCACATCTGGAACAATATTAAACCTTCAACTAGAAATCCAGAAAATTAATACTGAGATTTTTAAAATGAACAATGCATTGAAAGGACAGATGCAAAGTTATGGAAGCCCGAATTATTGAGCTTCAAGAAAAATCTCTCAATACTAGTATGATAGAAGAACAATCAGAGAAAAGAATGGAAAAATCCAAAGAAAGAGTTATGTGGGACACCATGAAGACAAACTTACGGGTTATGAGAATTCCAGAACAGAAACAGACTATAAAAAACACAGAGAAAACTGCCACAGAGTTGCTGGAAGAAAACTACCTCATATCACGAGATATGCAAAGATAAGCCATACAAGAGCTGAACGAACTTCCAATGGAATACAGCCCAAAAGAAAATCACCAAGACATACATATCATAATCACACTTTCAAACACCAAAGACAAGGAAAAAATTCTGAGAGCAGCTCGGGAAAAACTAAAAACTACAAAGGAGAAACAGTAAGATTAAACTCTCATTTCTCAGCAGAAACCATGTACACATGAAAGGAAACAGAATGACATACAGGAAGAAAAAAACTGCCAACCAAGAATCATAAACCCACCAAAGTTGTCCCTCAAATACAACAGTGAAATTATATTTTCTGATCAACAGAAATTAAAGGAATTTGCAATGACCAGGCGAACTTTACAAAAAAACTGCTTAAGGGTGTTTTTTAGACTGAGAACCAACAACCTGAGATTACCATATCTGACAACACCACCCAGAACTCAATCCAAAAATGTTGCTGTTGTTGTTAAGTGACCTCAAGTCAATTCCAACTCATAGCACCCCAGTATAGGGTTTCTGAGGAGAAGTGGTGGGTTTGAACCATCAGCATGACATGACTGGCTACTACAAGAATAAGCAAGCTGTTTGCCAGGAAGACA